TCAAGGATACCTCTTCCTTACTCTCTTGCCTAGTACAATGGTTGCAATCTTCAGGACAAGGTCTTCTTGACAATGCATCTGCGTTGCCGTGAGATTTTCCGCTGCGATGTTCGATCTCAAAGTCGTATTCCTGCAGTAGTTCAATCCACCTCGCAACTTGTCCTTCTGGATTTTTAAACTGCAATAGCCATTTTAGTGCAGCATGGTCAGTTCGTAAGTGAAACTTTCGTCCCAGAAGATATTTGCTAAAATGCTGCAACGACTTTACCACAGCGAGCAATTCGCGTCTTGTGACACAATAGTTCCTTTCCGGTTTTGACAACGACTTGCTGAAGTACGCTATTACGTTGTCAACCCGATTGTTTACTTGGTCGATTCGGGTTTCGGCCTCCGACAGGCGGTTGTCATGTTGAGCAACCTTATCCTTCACCTCCCGTATCTCTTTTCCGAAGATAGCGTGAAGGTCCTTCATGAGGAGCATCTGCTCTTCCTTATCGCGTTGGAGTTGCTCTTCTAAACGACGGGCCTGTTCCTCCTGCCGGCGGGCCTGTTCCTCCTGTCCGCCCCGCAGCTGCTGCAGCATCACCATCAGAGCACCTAAGTCAGGTGCCACAGACGTAGAAGCTGCTGACGGACCGGCTTCCGTGGCCGGCGGCTGGCCCTCAGACATCTGCGGCGTTGCACCACCAAATCTCCTCTGGTCCGTCTCCTGCTGGCGTTGACTTCGGGTACGGACACCCTCCGTTTCCTCCTTAGGTAAAATCGGCATTATTTTATCCCACTTCTGACACCAATTGTTACGAGCTTGAGGTTCGTGACAATAAAAATTGCCGATAAAATTACCTAAATTAACACTTTAATTTACTTTACACAAACTAAAAACACTAATAATGAAACACACTAATTTACTTAATTCCGCTCCGAAGCTTCGCTTGTGTCGCCGAGTTCACTCTGCCTCCATCGCATCTTGCAGCGCCTACTTATTTAAATTAGCAAATATCCAGAATGTTCAAGTAAACACGCGTAAGGTATCGAGAGTCCGAGTATAGATTTTCTAGAAACTTAGTTTCTGCGGATGGCGCTGTCGGTTGTGATGTCATTCACTGCAAAGCCCCCCTCGCCCCCGCTCCTGACACTAGATGGCGCTAGTTGACTTATTCATGCAACAATATTACACTGCTAAACGTGGGTTTCTCCCGTTATCTGGCTTGCCTTTTGCCAACGCTTGTTCGGTTGACCGCCGATCTCTGCACAGATGCCAGACGTCACACACACACACGTAGCTGCCCGTCGGCGGCCTTCCTGCCTGTATTTACGTCTGACGTGCACGAAATGGTTATAGCGCTGTCTATCGGAAGCCATATGTATGTATTTGCTACAACCGTTCTTGCGTTACCACCCATTAAATGAGAGAATAGATTCTCTTACGCTTCTACTGTACGTCATTAAAATTGATATTAATTATTTCAATTTATAGAATTAGGCGTAGCTTTGCGGACATTTATTATATTATTACACAAAAAAAAACATGTTTTAAACACTGTTTTCTGTCAATGTATCAAAAAGCGTTTACAAAGTCAAATAACATGTTGTAGTGAAATATGCTTGACAGTATTATTTATTACATATTTTAATTATATTATATCTTTATAACTACAGAAAGAAAATGTTTGAAAACAAATTTGTAGAAATATTTCCATGTTGAAATATAAGTTTGAATATCTGTTGAAAAATTTACACAGTTTTTGTGAGTGCGAACGCTACCACCCACAAAACATGTTGTGTGATTTATTTTATGCGATTTGTTTTACAAAATTACGTCTTGGATGTTCCTCAGTGTAAACGTACTGTAATAAAGACAATAAAATTAATTAGTTAAGATACTAATTGATGTCCTGGGATTAGTTGCGATGGCGATAGTTCACGCGATTGAGGAAGGGAGGGAAGTGTTCTTGACACAAGTTAAGATACATTATGTTTTTCACGTAGATTTTGGATTTTTAAATTTCACAAAATTTTTATATAAACCGTGTGATAGCGGTGTAAAAATATCCACTCTCCCATAACGTCACGTTAGAGGTTAAGTAAAACAGAATATTGGCGATATCATCTTCCTGATAACAACTAAAAATAATAAAAAGCTGCGGTTGCCAAGCGTGGCAACTATGGAAAATTCCCCCCATGAGTGCAATCTACAGGAGAGACCTATGTTAAGTAGTTGGCTGTTATTAGGTATACATTTTTTAAACAGCTTGCTTATATAACTTTTTTAGCATTTAAATTTAATATATCCATATTGAAAGGTTGTCTTGATTAACCCTATTATTTAAAAGTCTGTATCGTTCAGAATTTGCTTCAGGAAAGTAAGATTCAACCCCAAGGCATATTAAATTTTTATAACAAAAGGATTACCTTCAGTAGTAGTAAAGATTGTTTCAATTTATTTTATGTAATATAAATATATTACAGTATTTTTTAAGATACTAAAATCTATTTTCGATAGGCACCTTTAAAAGGATGCGTTAACTCACGTATTTCTTAAAAGATTTACCCATATTTTTTATATGATTGGGTGACAAACGAGCACACAGTCCACCTGATGAAAAGTGGTTGCTGTGGCCCATAGACATCTACATCTATCCTCGATTATGAATCAAAATACAGATACGTTGTCACCCGTGAGGACTAAGATGGAATGCCTCATTTCCCTTAAAAAGGGTCTCCAGTTCTCTGCACTCACCATACAAACACAGCAGCATTAAGCTACAATTATACGCTGATATTCTGTGAGAGTGTGGTCCTTCCTCGGTCGAGGGTACCCATTCGTGCTACAACTATACTACTAATATAACTGCAGCATGGCTCTACCACCTATATTGTTTACATGACTACGCTTCAAATAGCAACGATAATGCGTTTGTTCATTTTTTAGCCAAATTGTTTTACTATTTATGTTTTTAAATATTAAATAAAATACTATCATATTATTATGGCAAAATCATTATGATATTCTTTTTTTGTACACCAATAAATGAAAAAATCAATAACCTTGTGTGGCCTTATCACTCTGAATGCATCTTACCACGCAGACAAGGCCAGCATGTCGGCGGTGAAGGAAAACATCGTGAGGAAACCTGCATGTCTGAGGAATAAGGAAAAAAAATATTTCGAAGATATGTGAAGTTCGTCAACACGCATTGGGGCAGCGTGGTGGACAATTCCTTGCCCTAAAACCCTCTCAGAAATGAGGGGAGGCCTGTGCCCAGCAGTGGGACGTTTATAGGCTGTAACTTTACTTTACTTTACTTTTACGCAGACAAAGAAAAAAGTTTATGAAAGAATATAAGGTGATAACAGTATACAAAGACATACAAGAACAAGCGTAAAGTATGACGGTAAATATTATAGTTTAGCGATATGAGCTTATTATTTGGAATTTTAATAGATACGATAGATTTTGAAGCTAAAAAAGAGACTTTAGTACTTCGAATATAGCAAGTAACAGTCATCTGGTCTTTTTTATAGGATAGGGTGATAAACAAGTACACATTCCACCTGATGGTAAATAGTTGCTGTGGTCCATAGATATTTACATCTATCCTCGATTACGAATCAAAACGCAAATGTCACTCGTGAGGACTAAGATGGAACACCTCGTTTCCATTAAAAAGGGTCTCCTGTTCTCTACACTTAACATACGAAATACAGCAGCATTAAGCTACTATTTTATGCTAGTATTCTGTGAGAGCGTGGTCCTTCCCGGTCGAGTCGACCTATTCGTGCTACAACTATACTACTAATATAACTGCAGCATGGTTCTACCACGTATGAAACGTTGGAGTACGGTCTTACAAGTAATGGAAAGGCATTAGATAGTTTACATCATAAAGCAGAAACTTGAGACGTTAAACCTACGTCAATTCCCTTATTATTTATATTATCCCCATCATATATAAGAATGATTTGTACTATATAAAGTACAAGTAATTTATTCTACAAAAAAGTATTAGTAATATTGTAGTTTTTTTTTTGGCCTGAAAAGCAATATAGTACTCGATCGATTTGAAATCTTCTAAACACAGATAAATTTAAAACTTATCGAATTCAAAACATTTTGTTAGTTCTTGAACGGAAAAAGCAGCAAATGCAATCCGCATTTTAACGAGGAAACTTTGTCGATTCAATTGTAACTTCAACTTTAGTTTTTTACGTTTTGATTGTGTTTTTCTGTAAAGAAGAAAATTGGTGTGAAATTTAAAGTTTCTGTAAAACAAATGTAAAGAAATAATAAAAATAATATAAGAAAAATCTAAAAGCCAACTAACGCCTTCACGCCTACGTCACCAAATTAGTCATTGTTATGAAAGAAGTCTATTTTTATAAAACCGATTAACTTATATCATTAACTATTGATCCGCCCCGGCTTCGTCTGGTAAGGATCTATTAATGTAGCGTTAGTTGTAAGTGACTTACGACATTCTTATGTCGTAAGAGGCGATAAAGGGAAACAAACTAGGAGATGGGCAGCAGCATCTTCCTGAATGCAACTCAAAATAATAAAATATATTTTTATATTTGTATAAATATACAAATATAATTAAAATTAAATACAAATATAATTTATTTCATTACAAATTATAAATAAAATTATAATAAAATATTATAGTTGTATTTTTATTGATGAACATTAAATATGAACTTGGTTAATTTCCTTTTCGGATAAAAAATAAAATAAATTAATGTTGTCTGCGTAGCGACATACGCAGTAATTGACAGCTTCGATGTATGATGAAACAAATTTTAAATAAAAGAACCACTGTATCAGAATATCCTTAAGCTGACATGTAAAATAATCACGTGATAAATAAACTTACATTTTGCAGAATTTGAACATGTATCTTTAAAAACGTTAGAAACGCTATTAACACTACCAAAAATCCAAATTTTCTCTCAAACTATGCTTTATATTTAATAATAATAATAATAAATAACGGGCTAGGATGCATCGTCTTTTTGCTGAGCTGGAGCCATCTTTAACCGTCACAGAGCAAAACCTGGCAGACCGAGTTCGGTATATCTTGCGCTCAAATATATTTGATGTCGCCGAACTCGAACGGCTACGACGTGAGGCTGTTCCCTCGTCGGATGAGAATGCTACGGCTGAGGATGCGGCGCCACAAATGGTAGAGCAACCCGCAAACGTGGATGCCGCCGTGGATACCCCAGTTGTGGTTGATTCAAGCGATGATGGAACAGTCACCCAGGAACTGGAATTAGAGCATATGAGGAATACATTGGAAGAGGCGATTGTGGAAACGCGCAGTACGCCTCTCGAAAATCGACCGCGACTTCCCCGCATAGCCCTAAGCAAGCGGAATCGGGCTGTCGTGAGGGCTCTGAACCCAATGCTGGTGACCTATTTGGAAGCCAGCCGGGACCTTTGCGAGACGGACTCAATTCTTTTTGGCGCCGCGCTGGCAGTGTGCCGTATCACAGGTGACAAGGTTTCCACGGCTGGACGCGCTAATGGCCATAGTAGCGCTATCCCAGCATGGAGAAGAAGAATTGAGGAACGTATCGCAAAGGCTAGAGCTCTCATTGGCAGACTGATATGCTACAGATCAGGCAACAACAGGCCAAGAAATGTGCGCACCGTCAGGATGGCGTTTGCTGGGACAAATGTCAGTTTGTCCCAGCCGGATATAACGCAAAAACTGACGGAGCGCATAGATGATCTGAAGCAGAGAATCGCTGCTTGGGGAAAGCGGATTCGGCGATATACCGAGAGGTCGACACGGTTCAACCAGAATCGTCTCTTCCAGAGTGATCAGAAGAGGCTCTATGAATCATTGGAGCGACCAATGGTAAGTGGAACGGGTCCAGCACCGAATCAGGCCGACACTGTAGCATTCTGGCGCGGCCTGTGGTCAGAGCCCGTAAACCACAGCGAGGGCCCTTGGACGGAAGTTGTGGCGAGTCAGTGTGCGGGTATTACGCCCATGGACCCCGTCATCATAACGCCGGATGACGTAGCTGAGGCGGTCCGTAGGGCCCGAACTGGAAAAGTCCGGGGCTTGACGGGCTGCATCACTACTGGCTGAAGGGGTTCATGGTGTGTCACTCTGTGCTCGCCCGACAGTTTCAAGAGGCTCTCAACCAGAAGTCGCTCCCAAGCCTCTACACTACTGGGATCACTCATTTGGTTCCTAAAGACCAGGGTACCACAGACCCGAGCAAATACCGCCCCATCACGTGTCTAATGACCATATACAAGACACTAACATCCATTTTGAGCGCGAGAATCACTTGTCACCTGGACTCAAATCAGGTGATGGTGCGCGCTCAAAATGGATGTCAGGGCGGTGGTCGTGGAACCAAGGAACCACTCCTCATTGACGCCATCATTGGCAAAGTGGTGAAACGCAACCGTCGGTACTTCTCCGCCGCCTGGATAGACTACAGAAAGGCATTCGACTCGGTGCCCCATACATGGCTAAAGAGAGTCCTCGAGCTGTACAAGATAGACTGTACAGTTAGAGACTTCCTCGAGCAGTGTATGGGGCAGTGGAGTACGATCCTTTGTCATCTGGGCGAGCGGATGATGGCTGCGGAGAACAACATAAGGATAAGAAGGGGTATCTTCCAGGGCGATTGTCTGAGTCCAATCTGGTTCTGCCTCTCTCTGAACCCTCTCAGTACCTTACTGGAGGGCTCCGGGAGGGGATTTCAGCTACGGAAAGGAGGGACAAAAGTGACCCACCTTTTCTATATGGATGACCTCAAGTTATTTGCCTCCAGTCGCTCCCATCTTATGGAATTGCTAAACATCACTTGTGAATTTAGCAATTCCATTGGAATGGAGCTTGGGACGGATAAGTGTGCGGTCCTCCATGTTGAAAGGGGAAGGGTTGCTAACTCTGAGGACGTATACTTATCTATGCCCGTCAACTTAAGGACCCTTTCCGAGGCTGAAACATACCGATACCTTGGTATGTCACAAAACATCGGTATCGATGAGACTGGTATGAAACAGTCAGTTTGCGACGTGTTTTATGCACGCTTGACCAAAGTGCTTAACAGCCTTTTTGTCCGGTGTGAATAAGGCACACGCATATAACGGCTGGGTCATGCCTGTCCTCATGTATACCTTTGGCATACTCAGGTGGACTCAGACTGAACTTAACGCCCTGGATAGAAAAGTCCGCACTACCATGACGTCCCATAGGATGCATCATCTGAGATCGTCGGTAATGAGGCTGTACTTGTCGCGGAAGCATGGTGGTCGTGGCTTCTTGAGCGCGCTCACCATGAATAATCGCGAAGTGTGCAGCCTCCGTGATTACTTCCTGGCGAGATCTGATGATCCATTCTATAAGGACGTCATTTCTTGTGATAAAGGACTTACCCCTCCATCCTTAGCCAACGAGCAATGGCAAGACCCGGCAGTGCAGAGCATTTCCGACCGAGAGACCGTATGGAAGGAGAAGGAGCTCCACGGGAGGTTCTACAACGCTCTACATGAGCCTTTCGTAGACACGGTAGCCTCCCTCCACTGGCTACGCTTTGGTGATCTCTTCGGGGAAACCGAGGGTTTTGTCAGTGCAATACAGGATCAGGTTATTAAGACCCACAACTATCGGAGATACATCCTAAAGGATGGCACCGTCGACATCTGTCGAGCTTGTCGCCATCCCGGTGAGTCACTTGGGCATGTTATCTCCGGTTGTTAGGCGCTTTCTAAGTCTGAGTACTTGCACAGGCATAACCTAGTAGCCAGAATTCTACACCAGGAGCTCGCTCTGAAATACGGTCTCGTGGATCGGAAATTGCCGTATTACAAGTACTTGCCGGAAGCCGTGCTCGAAAATGATCGCGCCAGGCTCTATTGGGACCGGGCCATCATCACAGACAGGACTATTCTTGCGAATAAGCCTGATATTGTGCTGATGGACCGGGCACAGTCAAGGATATTTTTGGTCGACATTACCATTCCGTATGACGAGAACCTCGTGAAAGCCGAAACAGACAAGCAAACAAAATATCTGGAGCTGGCTTACGAGGTGACCGACATGTGGGGTGGTCTGCCGACCGAAATTATTCCTGTAGTCGTCTCTGCAAACGGGCTAATCCCAGTCAGCCTCTCGGGTCATCTGAGGCGACTGGGACTACGTGGCGGACCGCTCCGGGCTCACATGCAGAAGGCGGTGCTCCTCGATACCGCCCGCATCGTCCGCCGGTTTCTTTCTCTTTCCCCCTAACCCTCGGCCGTTTGGTCTCCCCTGCCGAGGGCCTCCATCTGGTTGGGCTTTTATTTATTTAAGTATTTTTATATTCATTTTATGTTATTCATATTTATGTATATTTATCTTTTCATTCTCATTTATAGTTATATATTTATAGAACCCAACCAGATGAGAAAACTATATAAAAAATAATAATAATAATAATTCCCTCATCGAATGAATTGGCTACGGCTGGGGATGAGGCTCCTCAGGCGACAGACCAGCTGCCACGCGTAGAAGCCGCCATGGATCTTCCAGTAGTGGGTGATTCAGACGATGATGAAATGGTCTCCCACGGACTAGCGCAAATGAGGAGTATATTGGAAGAGGCGATTTTGGAAACGCGCAGCATGCCTCTCGAAAATCGACCGCGACTTCCCCGCATACCCCTAAGCAAGCGAAATCGGGCTGTCGTGAGGGCTCTTAACCCAATGCTGGTAACCTATTTTGAAGCCAGCCGGGACCTTTGCGAGACGGACTCAGTTCTTTTTGGCGCCGCAGTGGCAGCTTGCCGTATTATTGGCGCCAAACTTCCCATGGCTGGACGCGCTACTAAACAAAGTAGCGCCATCCCAACCTGGAGAAAAAGAATTGAGGACCGTATCGCAAAGGTAAGGGCCCTTATCAGAAGACTGATAAGCTTCAGGTCGGGTAATAATAGACCGAGGGTTGTGCGCACCGTTAGAATGGCGTTTGCTGGGACAAATATCAGTTTGTCCCAGCCGGATATCACGCAGAAACTAACGGAGCGCATAGACGACCTGAAGCAAAAGATTGCCTCTTGGGGGAAGCGGATTCGTCGATTTACCGAGAGGTCAAGGCGGTTCAACCAGAATCGTCTCTTCCAGAGTGATCAGAAGAGGCTCTACAAATCATTGGAGCGACCAGAGGTATGTGGAGCGGGCCCAGGACCGGATCAGGCTAACACTGTCGCATTTTGGCGTGGCCTGTGGTCAGAGCCCGTAAACCACAGCGAGGGCCCTTGGACAGAAGTTGTGGCGAGTCAGTGTGCGAGTATTACGCCCATGGACCCCGTCATCATAACGCCGGATGACGTAGCTGAGGCGGTCCGTAGAGCCCCGAACTGGAAATGTCCGGGACTCGACGGACTGCATCACTACTGGCTGAAGGGGTTCATGGTGTGTCACGCTGTGCTCGCCCGTCAGTTTCAAGAGGCTCTCAACCAGAAGTCGCTCCCTAGCCTCTTCACTACTGGGATCACTCATTTGGTTCCTAAAGACCAGGTACCACAGACCCAAACAAATACCGCCCCATTACGTGTCTACCCACCATATATAAGACACTGACATCCATTTTGAGCGCGAGAATCACTCGTCACCTGGAGCTAAATCAGGTGATGTCACGCGCTCAAAATGGATGTCGGGGCGGTGGTCGTGGAACTAAGGAACCACTCCTCATTGACGCGGTCATTGGAAAAGTGGTGAAACTCAACCGTCGGAACTTCTCCGCCGCCTGGATAGACTACAGAAAGGCATTCGACTCGGTGCCCCATACATGGCAAAAGAGAGTCCTCGAGCTGTACAAGATAGACTGTACAGTGAGAGACTTCCTCGAGCAGTGTATGGGGCAGTGGAGTACGATCCTTTGTCATCTGGGTGAGCGGATGATGGCTGCGGAGAACCACATAAGGATAAGAAGGGGTATCTTCCAGGGCGATTGTCTGAGTCCAATCTGGTTCTGCCTCTCCCTGAACCCTCTCAGTACCTTACTAGAGGGATCCGGGAGAGGATTGCAGCTATATTCGATGAGGCTGGTATGAAACACTCAGTTTGCGACGTGTTTTATGCACGCTTGACCAAAGTGCTTAATAGCCTTTTGTCCGGTGTGAATAAGACACACGCATATAACGGTTGGGTCATGCCTGTCCTTATGTATACCTTTGGCATACTCAGGTGGACTCAGACTGAACTTAACGCCCTGGATAGAAAAGTCCGCACTACCATGACGTCCCATAGGATGCATCATCCGAGATCGTCGGTAATGAGGCTGTACTTGCCGCGAAAACATGGTGGGCGTGGCTTTCTAAGCGCGCTCACTATGCATAATCGTGAAGTGTGCAGCCTCCGTCATTACTTCCTGGCGAGATCGGATGATCCATTCTATATTGACGTCATTTCTAGTGATAAAGGGCTTACCTCTCTATCCTTGGCCAACGAGCAATGGCAGGACCCAGCAGTGAAGGAGAAGGACCCAGAAGGAGAAGGAGCCCCACGGGAGGTACTACAGGGCTCTACATGAGCCCTTCGTAGATACAGTCGCCTCCCTCAACTGGCTACGTTTCGGTGACCTCTTCGGGGAAACCGAGGGTTTTGTCTGTGCAATACAGTATCAGGTTATTAAGACCAACAACTATCGGAGATACATCCTAAAGGATGGCACCGCCGACGTCTGTCGAGCTTGTCGCCATCCCGGGGAGTCACTTAGACATGTCATCTCCGGTTGTTCGGCGCTTTCTAACTCTGAGTACTTGCACAGGCACAACCTAGTAGCCAGAAGTTCCAGCCGGATATCACGCAAAAACTAACGGAGCGCATAGATGACCTGAAGCAAAAAATCGCTGCTTGGGGGAAGCGGATTCGACGATTTAGCGAGAGGTCAAGGCGGTTCAACCAGAATCGTCTCTTCCAGAGTGATCAGAAGAGGCTCTATAAATCATTGGAGCGACCAGAGGTATGTGGAGCGGGCCCAGGACCGGATCAGGCTGACACTGTCGCATTTTGGCGTGGCCTGTGGTCAGAGCCCGTAAACCACAGCGAGGGCCCTTGGATGGAAGTTGTGGCGAGCCAGAGTGCAAGTGTTACGCCTATGGACCCCGTCACCATAAGGACTGAAGACGTGGCTGAGGCGGTCCGTAGGGCCCCGAACTGGAAATGTCCGGGGCTCGACGGGCTGCATCATTACTGGCTGAAGGGGTTCGTAGTGTGTCACGCTGTGCTCGCCCGACAGTTTCAAGAGGCTCTCGATCAAATACCGCCCCATCACGTGTCTACCCACTATATATAAGACACTGACATCCATTTTGAGCGCGAGAATCACTTGTCACCTGGAGCTAAATCAGGTGAAGTCACGCGCTCAAAATGGATGCCGGGGCGGTGGTCGTGGAACCAAGGAACCACTCCTCATTGACGCGGTCATTGGCAAAGTGGTGAAACGCAACCGTCGGAACTTCTCCGCTGCCTGGATAGACTACAGAAAGGCATTCGACTCGGTGCCCCATACATGGCTAAAGAGAGTCCTCCAGCTGTACAAAATTGACTGTACAGTTGGAGACTTCCTCGAGCAGTGTATGGGGCAATGGAGTACGATCCTTTGCTATCTGGGCGAGCGGATGATGGCTGCGGAGAACCACATAAGGATAAGAAGGGGTATCTTCCAGGGTGATTGTCTGAGTCCAATCTGGTTTTGCCTCTCCCTGAACCCTCTCAGTACTTTACTGGAGGGCTCCGGGAGGGGATTTCAGCTTCGAAAAGGAGGTACAAAAGTGACCCACCTTTTTTTATATGGATGACCTCAAGTTATTCGCCTCCAGTCGCTCCCATCTTATGGAATTGCTAAACATCACTTGTGAATTTAGCAATTCTATTGGAATGGAGCTGGGAACGGATAAGTGTGCGGTCCTCCATGTTGAAAGGGGGAGGGTTGCTAACTCTGAGGGCATAGACTTATCTATGCCCGTCAACTTAAGGACCCTTTCCGAGGCTGAAACATACCAATACCTGGGTATGTCACAGAACATCAGTATCGATGAGGCTGGTATGAAACAGTCAGTTTGCGACGTGTTTTATGCACGCTTGACCAAAGTGCTTAACAGCCTTTTGTCCGGTGTGAATAAGACACACGCATATAACGGCTGGGTCATGCCTGTCCTCATGTATACCTTTGGCATACTCAGGTGGACTCAGACTGAACTTAACGCCCTGGATAGAAAAGTCCGCACTACCATGACGTCCCACAGGATGCATCATCCGAGATCGTCGGTAATGAGGCTGTACTTGCCGCGAAAGCATGGTGGGCGTGGCTTCTTGAGCGCGCTCACCATGCATAATCGCGAAGTGTGCAGCCTCCGTGATTACTTTCTGGCGAGATCGGATGATCAATTCTATAAGGACGTCATTTCTAGTGATAAAGGACTTACCCCTCTATCCTTAGCCAACGAGCAATGGCAAGACCCGGCAGTGCAGACAATTTCCGACCGGGAGAACGTATGGAAGGAGAAGGAGCTCCACGGGAGGTACTACAAGGCTCTACATGAGCCTTTCGTAGACACAGTAGCCTCCCTCCACTGGCTGCGCTTTGGCGATCTCTTCGGGGAAACCGAGGGTTTTGTCTGTGCAATACAGGATCAGGTTATTAAGACCAACAACTATGGGAGATACATCCTAAAGGATGACACCGTGGACATCTGTCGAGCTTGTCGCCATCCCGGTGAGTCACTTAGGCATGTCATCTCCGGTTGTTCGGCGCTTTCTAACTCTGAGTACTTGCACAGGCACAACCTAGTAGCCAGAATTCTTCACCAGGAGCTCGCTCTGAAATACGGTCTCGTGGATCGTAAATTGCCGTATTACAAGTACTTGCCGGAAGCCGTGCTCGAAAATGATCGCGCCAGGCTCTATTGGGACCGGGCCATCATCACAGACAGGACTATTCTTGCGAATAAGCCTGATATTGTGCTGATGGACCGGGCACATTCAAGGATATTTTTGGTCGACATTACCATTCCGTATGACGAGAACCTCGTGAAAGCCGAAACAGACAAGCAAACAAAATATCTGGACCTGGCTCACGAGGTGACTGACATGTGGGGTGGTCTGCCGACCGAAATTATTCCTGTAGTCGTCTCTGCAAACGGGCTAATCCCAGTCAGCCTCTCGGGTCATCTGAGGCGACTGGGACTACGTGGCGGACCGCTCCGGGCTCAAATGCAGAAGGCGGTGCTCCTCGATACCGCCCGCATCGTCCGCCGGTTTCTTTACCTTTCCCCCTACCCCTCGGCCGTTTGGTCTCCCCCTGCCGAGGGCCTCCATCTGGTTGGGCTTTTATTTATTTATGTATTTTTTATATTTATTTTATGTTATTGATATTTATTTATATTTATCTTTTCATTTTCATTTATAATTATATATTTATAGAACCCAACCAGATGAGAAAACTATATAGATACCCCACAATAATAATAATAATAATAATAAGGCGTAGAGAATTGACGACCCCATCGCCCGCTGACGTAACAGTTAAGTAACAAAACTGCTACGTCAACGCAGTCAGTCAGCGCCTTGCGAGAGGTGTGACCGCCGTGCCTCGGCAGAATTTAGGGTGCAGAGGCCCGTTTGTGCTTATGGCTACACACGAAACGTTGCCGGGCCTGGGCGTCTCCCGTTAATGGACGCCCAAATAATGGATGATGGATAAGAAGATAGTGCGCAAAGGGCCGCTGCCTGGGGGACGCCGGGGCGCGTCTGGAGCTGGCTCTGGACGCGGCAGCATGCGGGCCGCCAGCCGAGCGCGAGGAGCTGCACGGTCACCTAGCAGCCCTCCGCATCCATCATCCCCACCAGAAGGCTTGGTGTCGGCTGGGTCTTCTCGGACTCAGCAAGCGGCACCCGCCGCTGGTGGAGCACGTCGCTTGCGTTGATCACAAGCAATGAATGCAAACGCACTGCGGGCGTACTTTAGGGCAAAAGGGGAAGAAACTGGATGTTTGGCGTATCGGGCTAGGATGCATCGTCTTTTTGCTGAGCTGGAGCCATCTTTAACCGTCACAGAGCAAAACCTGGCAGACCGAGTTCGGTACATCTTGCGCTCAAATATATTTGATGTCGCCGAACTCGAACGGCTACGACGTGAGGCTGTTCCCTCGTCGGATGAGAATGCTACGGATGAGGATGCGGCGCCACTAATGGTAGAGCAACCCGCAAATGTGGATGCCGCCGTGAATACCTCAGTTGTGGTTGATTCAAACGATGATGGAACAGTCGCCCAGGAACCGGAATTAGAGCATATGAGGAATACATTGGAAGAGGCGATTGTGGAAACGCGCAGTACGCCTCTCGAAAATAAACCGCGACTTCCCCGCATAGCCCTAAGCAAGCGGAATCGGGCTGTCGTGAGGGCTCTGAACCCAATGCTGGTGACCTATTTGGAAGCCAGCCGGGACCTTTGCGAGACGGACTCAATTCTTTTTGGCGCCGCGCTGGCAGTCTGCCGTATCATAGGCGCCAAGGTTTCCACGGCTGGACGCGCTAATGGCCATAGTAGCGCTATCCCAGCATGGAGAAGAAGAATTGAGGAACGTATCGCAAAGGCTAGAGCTCTCATCGGCAGACTGATATGCTACAGATCAGGCAACAACAGGCCAAGAATTGTGCGCACCGTCAGGATGGCGTTTGCTGGGACAAATGTCAGTTTGTACCAGCCGGATATAACGCAAAAACTGACGGAGCGCATAGATGATCTGAAGTAGAGAATCGCTGCTTGGGGAAAGCGGATTCGGCGATATACCGAGAGGTCGACACGATTCAACCAGAATCGTCTCTTCCAGAGTGATTAGAAGAGGCTCTATGAATCATTGGAGCAACCAATTGCAAGTGGAACGGGTCCAGCACCGAATCAGGCCGACACTGTAGCATTCTGGCGCGGCCTGTGGTCAGAGCCCGTAAACCACAGCGAGGGCCCTTGGACGGAAGTTGTGGCGAGTCAGTGTGCGGGTATTACGCCCATGGACCCCGTCATCATAACGCCGGATGACGTAGCTGAGGCGGTCCGTAGGGCCCCGAACTGGAAAAGTCCGAGGCTTAACGGGCTGCATCACTACTAGCTGAAGGGGTTCATGGTGTGTCACTCTGTGCTCGCCCGACAGTTTCAAGAGGCTCTCAACCAGAAGTCGCTCCCAAGCCTCTTCACTACTGGGATCAATCATTTGGTTCCTAAAGACCAGGGTACCACAGACCCGAGCAAATACCGCCCCATCACGTGTCTACCGACCATATATCTATACAACTACCACATATGTCTATACAAGACACTAACATCCATTTTGAGCGCGAGAATCACTTGTCACTTGGACTCAAATCAGGTGATGTCGCGCGCTCAAAATGGATGTCGGGGCGGTGGTCGTGGAACCAAGGAACCACTCCTCATTGACGCGGTCATTGGCAAAGTGGTGAAACGAAACCGTCGGAACTTCTCCGCCGCCTGGATAGACTACAGAAAGGCATTCGACTCGGTGCCCCATACATGGCTAAAGAGAGTCCTCGAGCTGTACAAGATAGACTGTACAGTTAGAGACTTCCTCGAGCAGTGTATGGGGCAGTGGAGTACGATCCTTTGTCATCTGGGTGAGCGGATGATGGCTGCGGAGAACCACATAAGGATAAGAAGGGGTATCTTCCAGGGCGATATTCTGAGTCCAATCTGATTCTGCCTCTCTCTGAACCCTCTCAGTACCTTACTGGAGGGCTCCGAGAGGGGATTTCAGCTACGGAAAGGAGCGACAAAGTGACCCACCTTTTCTATATGGATGACCTCAAGTTATTCGCCTCCAGTCGCTCCCATCTTATGGAATTGCTAAACATCACTTGTGAATTTAGCAAATCCATTGGAATGGAGCTTGGGACGGATAAGTGTCCGGTCCTCCATGTTGAAAGGGGAAGGGTTGCTAACTCTGAGGGCGTAGACTTATCTATGCCCGTCAACTTAAGGACCCTTTCGAGGTTGAAACATACCGATTCCTGGGTATGTCACAAAACATCGGTATCGATGAAACTGGTATGAAACAGTCAGTTTGCGACGTGTTTTATGCACGCTTGACCAAAGTGCTTAACAGCCTTTTGTCCGGTGTGAATAAGGCACACGCATATAACGGCTGGGTCATGCCTGTCCTCATGTATACCTTTAGCATACTCAGGTGGACTCAGACTGAACTTAACGCCCTGGATAGAAAAGTCCGCACTACCATGACGTCCCATAGGATGCATCATCCGAGATCGTCGGTAATGAGGCTGTACTTGCCGCGGAAGCATGGTGGTCGTGGCTTCTTGAGCGCGCTCACCATGCATAATCGCGAGGCGTGCAGCCTCCGTGATTACTTCCTGGCGAGATCTTATGATCCATTCTATAAGGACGTCATTTCTTGTGATAAAAGACTTACCCCTCTATCCTTAGCCAACGAGCAATGGCAAGACCCGGCAGTGCAGAGCATTTCCGACCGGGAGACCGTATGGAAGGAGAAGGAGCTCCACGGGAGGTTCTACAAGGCTCTACATGAGCCTTTCGTAGACACAGTAGCCTCCCTCCGCTGGCTACGCTTTGGTGATCTCTTCGGGGAAACCGAGGGTTTTGTCTGTGCAATACAGGATCAGGTTATTAAGACCAACAACTATCGGAGATACATCCTAAAGGATGGCACCGTCGACATCTGTCGAGCTTGTCGCCATCCCGGTGAGTCACTTAGGCATGTTATCTCCGGTTGTTCGGCGCTTTCTAACTCTGAGTACTTGCACAGGCACAACCTAGTAGCCAGAATTCTACACCAGGAACTGGCTCTGAAATACGGTCTCGTGGATCGGAAATTGCCGTATTACAAGTACTTGCCGGAAGCCGTGCTCGAAAATGATCGCGCCAGGCGATACTTTTGGTCGACATTACCATTCCGTATGACGAGAACCTCGTGAAAGCCGAAACAGACAAGCAAACAAAATATCTGGACCTGGCTCACGAGGTGACCGACATGTGGGGTGGTCTGCCGACCGAAATTATTCCTGTAGTCGTCTCTGCAAACGGGCTAATCCCAGTCAGCCTCTCGGGTCATCTGAGGCGCCTGGGACTACGTGGCGGACCGCTCCGGGCTCACATGCAGAAGGCGGTGCTCCTCGATACCGCCCGCATCGTCCGCCGGTTTCTTTCTCTTTCCCCCTAACCCTCGGCCGTTTGGTCTCCCCTGCCGAGGGCCTCCATCTTGTTGGGCTTTTATTTATTTAAGTATTTTCATTTTCATTTATAATTATATATTTATAGAACCCAACCAGATGAGAAAACTATATAGATACCCCACAATAATAATAATAATAATAATTCTTTATTGACATTCATAGTTCACAATTTGAAATGGGTAGAAACCTGAGTCTCCTAGCTAGGTTACTGAGTAACCTGTATTTAGGAGATACAGTCCCATCCCCCCTGTTGATTAGGAATACATAGTTGTATTGCTTAAAATTATTATAATTTTTAAATAGAAATAATATTTATACAATTTTAGAGACATAATAAAAATGATCTATCTCTCTCTCTCTCTCTCTCTCTCTGTGTTTGTGTGTGTGTGTGTTGTGTGTGTGTGTGTGTGTGTGTGTGTGTGTGTGTGTGTGTGTGTGTGTGTGTGTGTGTGTGTGTGTGTGTGTGTGTGTGTGTGTGTGTGTGTGTGTGTGTGTGTGTGTGTGTGGGCGTGGGTGTGTGTCAGTGAATGTATATGTAATACTTAAAAAAAATGAAATAAATATATAACAATGCGACGTAGTTTTATAACAATGTTAACAAGTATTGCTCTGTATCATCATATGATTTATTAAGCAGGAAAGAGCGGACAGAAGTTTTACAATAAAATGTTGACATTTCGTAAATCTCTACTTCCGCATTTATTTTGTTGTAAAGTAGAGGACCTAGATATTAAAAAAATCTTTTTACAAATGAAAAATTAGCTAGCGGAAGTGTGCATACTTTGTCTTTACGCCGTTTAGAAATTACAATGAAAGGTGTCTTTAAAGAGTTGCCTCACACTAAGAACAGCGCAGTTTTGATATAGATGAGTAGTTGGAAATAGCATTGGTTTGAAAGTAGCAACCTTTAAGATAGCTCTTTGCGCAACTTCAAATGGCTTTAATATTGTTTTTGCAACACCACCCCAGCAAGAAATGCAATATGTGATGATAGACTGGCATAAAGCATAATAAACGTTGCGTATAATTATGGAATTTGCAACATATCGTAGTTTTTTAAATATATATATATATATATATATATATATATATATATATATATATATATATATATATATTAGTTTGTGAACTTTACTCGTTAAGAGATTTATATGCATTTTAAAATTGAGGTGTTTATCAAGTACAATACCTAGATACTTTATATTGTCTACAGAATTCATCTGTGGACACAGACAAGGCGAAGACTGTAGGGAACAAGAGTGAGCTTTCAACTTGATAGGAATATTTGGTTGCGAGGTGGGACTGATAGAGAAAGTTATAAATTTAGTTTTGGAAGAATTAAGAGTAAGAGTGTGAGATAAAAGCCAATTATATATTTGATTAAAACTACGTTGTGATATATTTTCAAGGATCTTTCCAAGATGTTGCATAGAAAGTAATAGCTGTATCATCTGCAAAAGAGACGATTTTTGCGTTATCAATGTGAAGATTGCACAAGTCATTAATAAAAACAAGAAATAGAGTTGGGCCAAGAATACTTCCCTGGGGGACACCATAGGTAACAGGGAGTTCGTCACCGATGCAGTCCGATATTTTAACCATTTGAGCGATTTGTAAGGTAACTTCTGAAAAAGTCTAACTGTAAACCTCTGACACCAATTTTCTCTAACTTAGCTAAAAGAGTAGAAACAGGAATTGAGTCAAAGGCTTTTGCTAGATCTAGAAATATCGTTAGGACCTTTTTTATGACTATTTAGATTAGTGACTATGAAATTTATTAATTCATGAATTGCGTCAGAAGTTGATTTATTTCTACGAAATCCGAATTGTTGAGGTGATATTAATTTAAAGTGTTCAAGATAATGGACCAGTCTATTGTTCACTAAACGTTCTAAGACTTTAGGTAAAGCTGGTAGTAGTAATATTTCATGCGAAATATTTTACTAAATTATTACATTATATTCAGTTCATATCGTAAATTATTTCACAACAATGTTGAAGGAACACTACAGCTTTCTTTTAAGCTGTAGTGTTCCTTCAACATTGTTGTGAAAGTTTAAGTAATGTAGCTTGATTGAAGTAAAATGCAAAGTGAAATTTTAATTGAAATTATTATTCGCCGTGTAGTGGCAGCGTAAGAGAATACACTTCCCCATAATATCATCCCGTGGGTGACGTAGGAGGCAACAGAAAGAAACTGCAGCAGAAATTTGGTGACAGAGTCACACTTAGAACAACTCGAAATAATAAAACCTGCGGTCGCTGACCCGCCTTCCTAGCATCGTGAATGTGACAAATATTCCCTAGGAGGCAATCTATAGGTAGGTCGTACGGTCGCCACGTAGCAGTGACCCTTTGTAGACGGTAATGAATGAATTAACGAAGACTTATTACAAGCCTTTTTGTAAGAGGAGTTACATAATAATATATAAAATAGAATACAATAATTAGTCCTTTTAACAAACGCGCCGGGATTCAGGGAGAATTCTTGAATAAATTTTCTTTTCAAATGCTACGAGGAATTTAGACGTAA